TTGTGATTTTTTTTTTTTTTTTTTTTTTGGTTTTTTTTTTGGGGATGAATAACTATTTCTTCTATTGAAATAATATTATGAGCCTTTAAAACTCAGAGCTGGCATTCATGGATTGATGACTTTCATAATATATCCCCTTCTTAATTTCGAATGTATTTATGAAATAGCACTCATACCCCCCCCCCCCCCCCCCCCCCCCCTCTTTTTTTTCGTTATTATCATTAATGTTTTTTTATTGATGTTACTGAAACATATGTCCACAAATTGATGTTTTTCAAAAATTAAAATAGCCTCCACTAATTAGAATTTTTTTTTTTTTTTTTTCAATTGTAAAATGTATAAATAAGTATAACTGAATAAGGCCTGAATATAGGCCCAAGAAGCCCAAAGGTCAAAAAACTTTTACAAGAAGTCCAACGACAATCAGTTCAGTATTTATTACATAATGTAAACAATGTAAATCAATAGCTATACCATAAGCTTTCAAAAAATAATTTGCTATCTAGCCCATACACACTTTTCATTGCAAGAATGTTAAGGGTTAGAGGGGAGGAAAGGGTGCAAGGTTCTTGAACACGGACACCCTAACCCAAGGAGTAATCCAACCACTCGAGCAACACGGAACTCATTAGTCCATACACACACTCAAAAAGTAGTTTTGATGGAATGGCTTTTAATTAAAATGTGATTTATATACTACAATAATTTATAAATAACATCTCTTTTTTGGGAAGCTAAATTACATTTGTAATTGTAACGGTGATGTATGAATATTTTACATGATCTATTAGGGCCCATAAAAAAAAGGGCCAAGACCAAAGTCCAAGATCAACATATACAGCAGTTAGAAAGCCTAAAATGGTCCGTACCCAAAAGAACTAAGCTGGCCCATTTAAAAGCAACCAATTTGAAAATAAAAGACCCGTGCATAGCATTTCACATTCTGTTTTAAACTAGGGGTGGTCACACACAAGATCAGATTAGAACATTAATTTTATTTCAATTCGTTCTCAACAGATTAGGTAAATTTTAATTCGTTACCGATCGAATCGAATTGGATCAACAGATTAAATTTTATCTAAATTATTCATTATTATTTATTTATCTTTTAATTATAACTTAATAGATAAAATTTTAATTTATTAATATTAATTTATATATTCAAATAATTATTATTTAAAAAATTCATTAAATTATTATTAACTAATTAAATTAATTAATGAAGCGAAATTTTAACAGTTTAATAACTACAGAATTTAATTTTTTTTAATCTGCCGCTACGGGGTGTATAGCAATCCAACCACTGCCACCATTCCCACCCCACAACCTCCACCATATATATATATACCACCAACAGCGCCGCCCCACAACCAGTCTGTAGCACCACCGCTACCATCATCGCCCTCCCAATCACATCCACCATTCCAAGTTTCCAACCCACAATCTCCACTGCCACCACCAAATCAATTAGGTCTTTTGGATCGGCGGTGGAATTTCCTCAATAACACTGGGATTGGAATTCTCTATTGAACGATGTGGGATCTATTCCCCAATTCACTGAATTTCAATATCTTGTCTCTTTCATTCCGAACTAGTTCGTCAATTTCACTTGCATCAATTCAAATATTCGAGAAGATTACCATCAAATTGAGGGGAAGTCTGGTTTGAGTTCGTGGACGAGCTTATTCGAGCCTCCGATTGCATCGAATCAAATGACCCACAACCAGCGCACTTGATATTGGCGCGACGTAATCAACAGCTGGGTGGTTTGCCGGCCAACGGAATAATAGAAAGAAAAGCATATGAAAAATAAAATTTAATGGAAGAAGTAAGTACTGAACACTGATACAATTTTTCATTAAACAAAAAACCTTTATATAGGCAAATACACCAACACATAAAAGCAAAAATTAAGGAAACAAATAAGCCACTAACAATAACATACTCCCACTACTGCATCAATAGTGGAGCTCCTAAAGACTAGCTCAGCTCCTAAAGACTAGCTCTTCTTATTGCTTCACTTCCTAAAGACTAGGACAAAATAAACAAATCATGACTCACATGACAGCACAACAAACTCAGCTTTTCCAACATTCCTTCCCTTAAACTGAATGTTATGTCTGAAACATCAGTTTATTGGGTCACCTTCAAAGTACTCTCCCTCAATTTGAATCATTTGAAGTGCAAACACCAAGCAACTTCCTTAATTTCTGAAACGTAGGAAATTTGAGGGGCTTGGTTAGTATATCAGCAACTTGGTCTTCACTCTTGCAGTAAGTGAGATCAATAATTCCATCATTCGTGAGATCCCTCAAGAAGTGATACTTCACATCTATATGCTTGCTTCGTCCATGGAGAACAGGATTTTTAGAAAGTTTTATGGCTGAACTGCTATCACAATAGATCGTTGTTGCTCCTTGTTGCTTGAAGTGTAGCTCTTCAAGTATTTTCTTCAACCAAATAGCTTGACAGGCACATGAAGTTGCAGCAACGAATTCGGCTTCAGTGGTTGACAAAGTAACAATGGGTTGCTTCTTTGATGACCATGAAACAGCCCCTGAACCCAGCATAAAAGCATACCCCGAAGTGATCTTTCTATCATCTTGATCTCCTGCATAATCACTGTCAGTAAAGCCTATCAAATCTGATTTTTCTCCCTTTCTGTAAAACAGCCCAAAATCAATGGTTCCTTACAAATATCGAAAAATCCTCTTTGCAGCTAGAAGATGCATCTCTGATGGGCTCTCCATGTATCTACTAATGAGACTCACAACATGCATTATATCAGGTCTTGTTGTAACCAAATACATCAAACTCCCAACAATTTTCTTGTAAAAGGTGCTGTCAACTTTCCTTCCTTCAAGATCTTTAACTAGCTTTAAACCAAACTCAGTTGGTGTACTCACAGAATTGCAATTCTTCATCTGAAATCTATCTAAAATTGCTTTCATATATTTCTTTTGAGAAATAAAAATTCCAGCAGCAGATTGCACTACTTCTATACCAAGAAAATAATGCATCATTCCAAGATCGGACATATCAAATTCAACCATCATAGACTTCTTAAAATTTTCAAACATGGTATTATCATTTCCAGTAAAGATAAGATCATCAACATATAAGCACACAATGAGCATTTTTCCTCCATCTCCAATCTTTGTAAAAAGTGTATGCTCATATGGACATTTTTGAAATCCCTCCTTAGAAAAATAAGCATCTATACGACTATACCAAGCTCTTGGAGCCTGTTTTAGTCCATATAGTACCCTTTTTAATTTATAGACCTTACATCCACTTCCAAGTTTCACATAACCAGGAGGTTGATCAATAAATACCTCTTCTTGAAGTTCACCATGTAAGAATGCCGATTTCACGTCTAATTGAAAGATGGGCCATGAGTTTTGAGTTGCCAATGCAATCACCAATCTGATTGTATCATGTTGTACAACTGGAGCAAAAACTTCTTTATAGTCAATGCCGAACTTTTGCTTATAGCCTTTAGCTACTAAGGGTGCTTTGTATTTGTCAACTTCGCCGTTCTCCTTAAATTTTGTCTTGAACACCCATTTCACACCAGTGGTCTTTTGCCCTTTTGGAAGCTCTGTCAACTCCCAAGTGTTATTCTTTTCAATGGCCACAATTTCAGCATCCATGGCCTTCTGCCACTTTAATTCTTTGATGGCATCTTCAAAAATTACTGGATCACAATCTGAAAATAGAGCAAAATGAGTGAAAGCATCATCATTTTGATTAATTCCAGGTACCTCATAATCCTCCATCCATGTTGCCCTTTTTCTATTACGTTCTGGACGTGTGCTTGCTAGTGTGTGTATTTGATCTCCAAATTGACCATCATTTGCTGCTACTGTCGGAAGGCTTTGAGTATCTACTGGAACATTTTGAGTGGTTGTTGGTTGCAGCACATTCTTCATAGGTTGTTGCATTTTCTCATCACTGTCAAAATCTGCTGAAATATGTTGTCCAACACCGTTCTCGCTCCATGACCAAGTTTGATCTTCATCAAAAACAACATCGCGACTAATTACAATTTTCTTGGTGCTAGGATTGTAAAGCTTATAAGCTTTTGATTGGTCACTAACACCAAGAAAAATGCATTTTTCTCCCTTGTCGTCTAGTTTTTTCCTCCTCTCATCTGGAATGAGGGCATAAGCAATACACCCAAAAATTCTGAAATAATCTACCGCCGGTCTTCGTCCGCTTCATGCTTCCTCCGGTGTCGTATTTTGAATAGCAAAAGTTGGACTTCTGTTCAATATATGAATGCTCCAATTAACTGCTTCAGGCCAGAATTTTTTTTGAATGCCACTCCTTGTCAAAAGGCTTCGCACCATATTCAAAATAGTGCGATTTTTTCTTTCGCAAACTCCATTTTGTTGAGGTGTATACACTGCAGTAAGTTGCCTTTTGATTCTATGGATCTCACAAAAATTTGAAAAATCAAGTGAATTGTATTCTCCGCCACGATCAGTGCGAAGAACTTTTATTGGGCTTCCAACCTCTTTCTCAAAAAGTGCTTTATAGTTTTTAAAGACTACAAAAGCTTCAGATTTTTCTTGCAAAAAATAAGCCCATATTTTACGACTATAATCATCAATGAAGGTAATTATATATCTTTTACCTCCCTTAGAAGATGGATTTATTGGCCCGCAAAGGTCGGAATGCACCAGCTCTAAAGCTTTCTTTGCTCTCCATGATTTTCCTTGTGGAAATTGATTACGATGTTGTTTGCTAACAACATATTCTTCACAAACTTGTCGAGGACAGTCAATTTTAGGAAGGCCATTCACCATATTTTTCTGCTGTAACGTCTTGAGTCCACCAAAGTTTAGATGCCCGTAACGAAAATGCCATAGCCATGCTGCATCCTTCAATTTTGCTGAGAAGCATGAATGAGTGGTGTTGTGGAGCAAAAGTGGAAACATCCGATTTATCGTCATATTGACTTGAGCAATTAAGCCCACTTTTGCATCTTGAATTCGTCATACTCCATCTTTGATAGAAATCTCATATCCCTTTTCTTGCAGCTGTCCCACACTAAGCAGATTGGTCTTTAAATCTGGCACAAAAAGAACATTAGAGATAGTATGAATGGAATTTCCCTTGGTTTGGATAGCTACCTTTCCTTTTCCCATAACAGAGACTTTCGAATTGTCTCCAAACTTCACATCATCACGGAAGGATTCATCCAAATCAGAGAATGTAGACTTGTCTCCACACATATGATTGCTACAGCCAGTATCTAAGTACCATAAATTCTTGTTGGTTTCCTCCTTTGCACGACAAATCATCAACAAGGATACTTCTTCTTCCTTCTCTGCAAAGTTAGACTTTTCACCATGTTCTATATTTAAATTTGTTCGACATTCAGATTTATAATGGCCATACCGATGACATCTGTAGCATTCGACCTTGGACTTGTCTGTTGACATTGCTCTGAAATTGGTTGAATGGTGACTACCTCGTCCTTGGTGGTTGCCTCGTCCTTGGTTGCTACCTCGTCCTCTTCCTCTCCATTGAGAACCATGAAATTGGTTATCTTCAGACTTTTGATGTTGGAATTGTTGTTGGCTTCTTTGATCCTTGTTTCCTCCGCCTCCTCCTCTTCCTCGGCCTGCTGAATTTGGAGCTGAAATTTATTACTAGTTGTGACCTACAATGCTTGCTCCTCATTTTCTTGCTGTTTAAATTTTTGTTCATGAACCAACAATGAACCTTGCAGCTCATCCATTGAAAGATCATCCAGATCCTTTGATTCTTCAATTGAACAAACCACATAGTTAAATTTCGGCGTCAGTGATCGAAGAATTTTTTCAATTACAGTCACGTCCTCCATCTTGTCGCCATGGATACGCATCTTGTTAACGATTGCCATCATTCGAGAAAAATAGTCTACGACCGACTCTCCCGATTTCATCCGAAACATTTCGAACTCCGTATGAAGTGCTTGAAGTTGCTGCCTCTTCGCCCTTACTGATCCTAGGTACTTCTTCTTCATGGAATCCCAAATTTGCTTGGAAGTTTCTTTGCAAAGAATTGTTTCCAAGATTGACTGATCAATAGCTTGAAACAAATAGTTCTTGGCCTTGAGATCCTTCAACCGCTGCCCTTCTATCTCCGTGTTCTGCACTTTCGTCATTGTCGTGACTGCTGCTGGTTGTATTATTCCATCTGAAACGACTTGCCAATACTCCTTAGATCTTAAGAAGTTCTCCATTAGCATGCTCTAATGGTCATAGTGACCAGCAAAGCGTGGAATTGCAGGTTGCACAAAATTATTTTCAGAGGCCATTGCTGCTGCTACAAAAAAACAGATGAAATAGAAATAAAGCTGCTGCTATATCACTCTCTATCTCACGTACTGTATTTTTTTTTTGTTTGGCAACTCTCAAGTCCCACTTTTCTTTTCTCACTTTCTCTCTCTAGCTCTGATACCACTAATAAAAAGAAAAGCATATGAAAAATAAAATTTAATGGAAGAAGTAAGTACTGAACACTGATACAATTTTTTATTAAACAAAAAACCTTTATATAGGCAAATACACCAACACATAAAAGCAAAAATTAAGGAAACAAATAAGCCACTAACAATAACATACTCCCACTGCTGCATCAATAGTGGAGCTCCTAAAGACTAGCTCAGCTCCTAAAGACTGGCTCTTCTTATTGCTTCACTTCCTAAAGACTAGGACAAAATAAACAAATCATGATTCACATGACACCACAACAAACTCAGTTTTTCCAACACGGAATACCATTCCGGCGAGCTGCGTTTTACTTCACTTTCTGCAATCTCTACCACTCGGGGTTGGTTTGCAGGTGAATGCTATTTGATGTGCATGTTAGAGAGAGAAGGAAAAAGCTTGCCAGTTTTGATGTCTTCGTCGCAGGCTGAATCGCGACGATCCTTTCTAGCTCTTGCGGGTTGTGTCTGTTGGGAAACGTGCTAGTTTTAAAAACTTTTCGAGGGATTTAAATTCATAGATCTTGATTTATCACATAGAGACAAGTTTTATGAAAAAAATAAAATAAAATATGATGTATTATTCAACTAAAAGATTGAATACTTACATCAAGGTTTGAGTAAACCTCAGATCTCTCCTCTAAAGTGAATTTTCTCACTTATTGTAGATCCCTTTTGCTAGACATCTTTTCCATGGATCTCCATCTTCTTGGTAATGGTCTTGCCTTTAGGAATCACTCATAAGCCTCCTTGAATGACCTTGGAAAACTAGGCTTGTGGGAGCCTCCATTAGATGAGAACATAAACCCTAATTTTCTAGAGAGAGAAAATTTATTCCTTTTTCCTTCTCATCAAAAATCACCCCCTAAAATATACATAGACCATGTATATTTATAGGCAACATAAAAATAAAGAAAAGGAAACAACAAATCATTCTCCATCTCTAATTCATATGTCTCAAATCTAATATGATTCCAATATCAAGTTGGGCTATGAGTGAGAATCCATTGGGCCTATTATTTTATTGGCTACAATGAATTAATAATTGGCCCGGTCCATGGACCCAATTCAATTAATTCATAAATTAATTTCTACTCCACTAAAAGAAATTAATTGAACTCCAATTAAATAATAAATAATCTCTAAGTCAATATTGCACTTTGACCCCTCTATGCATAATTAGTTATCAGATAAATATAGCCATCAATCCGACTACTTAATTAATATATTTATTTTGGTACCTTTGATTATTTCTGGCTCGATCACAATAAAACATTTGTTTGACAAAAATAATAATTTAAATAAATAAATATATAATAAATCATTTTGTCTAAAAACACACGAAGGCCTTCGAATTTACTTTGTGATCAACCATAATCAATACAAAATAAATACAAGTAGCAATGATACAAATATTGAAAATATAACCCTCTAACTATTAATTACATAACTACCCAAAGTGTCGGTCTAAGGATCCCGAAGAATCCGCCGAACAAATCAAAGTAATTATTAATTAATAAAAGAGTCTATACTTTTCTCATGCTTAAGAGTCAAATGCTATGACGGTGATAGGGAGTAATTGCATACGACGGCTCTCGCAATATATCTCAACCTAATGCGGATCCAGTTCAAGTCTTAATTAATTATGAGTCAATCCATAATTACCAACTATGAACAATTTATAATTACTATTTATATATCATGCATTGATTGTCATCACATACATATATATAAATATTTCTTGTAATTAACTGGACACTATCAATTTCATAGTGAATCGAAACATAATACATTGAATTCACCAATTATATAAATCATAAATATTTCAGATATGTCAGGAACATATGTCAATACAATCCAGATAGGAATTTGCTATGCCAGGGCATATAAATCCCAACAGTGTCATCGTCGGCTAAGTCGCGATCGGAGCTTGTAACAGTCGCCGTCCCCGAAAGATTTGTGAGTTATTATTCTTTTGTGTGGTGCTTGTAATAGCGGAAAAGATTTGTGGGTTCATCTTCTTCAACCCAAATACATAGCTTTTTGTTGAAACAAAAAATCCAAAAGTTTCGGCCGATCCTGGCATCACTGGTTTCTCGTTGGCTTAATCCTGTCGGTGCAATCATCCGTGCTCGCTGGAGTCGCGCTCTTCTACGGCCGCTGTTTTGTTCAGTCCATGCAAACAGAGTTCAGCCTCTGTCCTTCTTCATCGCTGGTTTATCGTCACTGGTAAATCCTTCATCTTCTCCGAACAACTCTTTGCCGTCCTTCTTTGTCTTCACTGTCGTTACCATCTGGTGGTCGGGTTGCGGTGGTGGTGGAACACCATTTGAGAAAGAGAATTTTTTTTTTCCTTTTTCCCTTGTGGTCTTCTGGCTTATTCATGTTTAATTTTCTTAAATGTTTTTGACACGTATCAAATTACTTAGTGATCCACGTCAGCATGAGCAGGCAATTCCTAGTTGGCCTGAGGCAAGCATTGTTCGGGAGAGAATGGGTGTGATCGCGAGAGAGAGAGAAGTTATATATATACACACACATACACACACATGCGGAGCATTTTTTATATTTTGCATTTCTGATTTTTTTAAAAACAAAATTAGTTATGAGAGGTAAATTGGTAATTGTACCACAATGTTGGCTGGAAAGGGGTCTCCGGTCAATTTTAGGGGTCAATGTGTTCACTTTTTGAACTAGTATGACTAACTTGTTCAGTTTTGTACCACTAGGAGTATTTTGTTCATATACTGAAATTTTAGGAGAATATTTTGTACTTTTTCCTTCAAATAATATTTTCTAATTATGTTCGGACGCATGAAATTGGAAGGGAGCAATGTGTTCACTTTTGGAACCACTATGACTAACTTGTTCGGTTTTGTACCACGTGGGGTATTTTGTTCATATATCGAAATTTTAGAGGAATATTTTGTACTTTTGCTTTAAAACAATACTTTTTAATAATGTTGGGCTGCATGGAATTGGAAGTTTGGAATTGGAGAAAAAAAACTCACAAAATTGAACTAATTTTTTTTTTTTTTTTCCAATTCCACCAATTTTAATTCTAATTTAAAAACTCTAATTCCATAATGCAGCTTTTTGAATAATTACTTTTGGCGGTTAGATTTCATGAGGGATGCGACTACGGCGGATTCAAAATTATCCTGATTTTTTGTAATTATTTTAGTTTAGTCATTAGAAACTTTTCCCTATTTTTTTGTATTTTAGTTTAGAGACAGTGTCAAATTCGATCATTTTAAAATTTTTATTATTTTATATAAATAGTGGTTGCAATATTTAGCATAATATCACTAAACAATTCAATGTCTTAATTCTTCTTCTTTTTTTTTTTTTTGGGCTTGTAATAGAACCCCATATATGAACATTGCCAAAATTAAATAGAAATTACTGGAATGTTCATGACACTCACATCATGGACATTGACATTTACTAGTGTTTTTTAGAGTAAGATAAAAAAAAAAAAAAAAAAAAAAAAAAAAAAAAAAAAAATGAAGAAGAAGAAGAAGGTAGAAATTATATTAGGATTGTTAAGGGTTTGTTTACTAACAGTTGTTTTTACTTTCTTATTTTTGCTTTCTCCAAAAAGTGAAAACATGATTTTCATTTCTAAAAATAAAATACCAACTAGAATCATGATCATTAACTTTTCAAACTTTCAATATTTTCAAACACAGGAAATTAAAAAGCAAGTTCAATAATTATAATTTTGATCTCTCACTTCTGTAACTTGCTGGAATTGAATCCACTAGAAAGAAGAGAGAGAGAGAAATCAGAGAGAGAATCAAACCGTAGTTAATCGTCTTCTTCTTCATCATCAATTCCAAGTAGGTCCAGAGAACCCACATCCTCAATCATCCCCTTTTCGACCACCAATTTGAGCAGTATGTAGTCATTTGCTTGGTCTTTCCATTTTTCGATTTATTTATTTATTTATTTATTTTTTTTTTTTTTTTGGTCTTTCAGCCCAAAAATTTTCTATCTGAATTTTGGGGCATTTTGCTATTTCGGTTGGTTGGAATCCATCCCAAATGGTGTGCCTAGACTGGAAAGGAACCTAATTGTTGTTTGTTGGATTATTTATGGAAGTTGGATCTAGTCTTTGGCTCAAGGTGGGTTTGCCCAGTCAGTTTTTCGATGTTCTTGCAGCTCCTGAAATTGGATATGATCCATTGTTGCTTTTGAAATCTATTCTAGATGTCTAGGCCTTCGAGTTTTGCATTTAGCTTGACATTTAAATCCAATTTCTGCATGTGAATATTGTAAACCAAGTCCGAATTTGTGTTTCTGTTTCAAATTTCTCCAAACAGAATCACATTATGTTCTCTTTTTTATTCTTCTTACAACTCTGCAACTTCGAAGGGTAGATGGGGTTCACCAGTTCCGGGTTAGAGAAGGGAAGATGAATTCTAGTGGTAGCACCATCACCACCACCACCGATCTGATGAGATGATGTGTCAACAATAGGAGGAAGGGGTTTCAATCTTCAATGGATGATCGGCAGCGTTTGGCAACAATTTGTGGTAATAGAGAGAAGAAGAGAGAAGAGTTGGTGTGGCGTCGGTTTTGGTAATAGGAGAGGATGATGGGTTAGAGGAAGAAAGAGGGGGATTACAGTAATTTTGGTGGGACAACTACAGAAAGTAATTTGTGTCTACGGT